TTTGGCAATAATATTGCCTTGTTTTTGCCTGGGCGAGTTGGGGGCCTGTTATGCATAAGGGGTCCGCCTTATCGTCCGGTCGTGCCCGGGAGTAGTATAGGAGACAGCCCCGGGAGCCCTGGTGGCCAGTCCCGACTTGCAGTTACTAGAGGACGTTCCCGGTTCGATACTCTCTAGATGTCCCGGCGTGTCAAGCTGTGATTTGATTCAGACCTCCTGCTCGTAGAGGGGCTAGCTAGCTGATAGAGAAGCCTCAACTTATTTGGTCTGACTGAATTTGGTCAATGGATGTCAAAGGGGTGCGCTACTGTGATTGGCTCGGTTCACGTGCCCCGGTTCAGGTCCGTCGATGAAAGCACGCGTACGGCTGCATGTCGGTGCTTGGCGAGAAGCGATCCCCTTGCGCGCCCTCCGACCCCTTCCCAACCAATTCTCTGCCGAACACTCTCTCTTATATCGTCCTTTTTCCTCTTTTCTTCTCTCTTTTCTCCTTTTCTCTCTTCTTTTAGACTTTTCCCTTGTATCTCTTGGCTGTGAGTGGGGCCACACCTGTGATATGAGTATCATGAGTATGCAGGTGCTTGCTCGCCGGTCAAGCAACGGGTGTCCTTCTGGCGGCCGAGGGATCCCCCGACCAGTGATGACCATTGCACTAAGCAATTGAACTCAAGAAAGATAATAATAAGCCAAATAATAATAAGGTAACCGCACTGGGACGGGTAGGGTTAGTTTGGTGGTTAGGGTGGGTACGGGTGCGGAGCATGTATCTTTTTGGGTTAGGGTTTTTAGTGTTAGTCGGAGCTTATTATTATTTTGGCTTATTATTCTCTTTCCTGAGAATTATCACCAAGCACTTCCATGAACCTTGCTAATCAAACGGCTTTTGCCAGCTCACTACGTAAGTACCAGGACTACTGGCCGCTAGTAACTTCAACGAGGTGAAAAGGTAGGTATGAAGGAAAGAGTGCACATTCTATTTTCTATCTGTGCATGCAATGGAGGACGTGACTGCAGCACTGTCCCCGCCAGAAGACGCACCTGCAATTGCACACTCTGTACCAGGGAATTGAGGATCAGGGCTAGAACTTGAAGCTTTTATCTAGTCTCCCTACCTGCAGCTCATGAGCTGCATTTACACGCCGAAAAGAGTGCCTCTCAACTTTCGAACTGGACAATTTCTCCAATCTGTCTACAAAGTTGGCTATCCATTTTGACACCAGTAGGCTTCGCCGCCATTATTATTTTCTCCTGCCCCAAAAAGCCCTGTCAGCAAGCTGGCGGCAACTTGAAATTAAGACGAGCGCAAAAATGGCTGCCCCGGCCAAGACTGACGCAGACCAGAAAGCCCCGCCCCCTTCTGAGGTGGGCATTGCAATCGCCGGCGGCGGTCTGGGTGGGCTAGCTTTGGCGGTGGGCCTGCTGGAACGGGGCTTCGACGTGCACGTCTTTGAAGCGGCCCAGGAGCTCAGGACAGGCTCAGGGACGATCATAGGCCTCGCAGCCAATGGTAGGTGATGGGGTGCTTGCTCTAGTCTGCTTTGCTTGATCTGCAGTTTCAAGTCATTGTTTTGTGCTTACGGCTGCGATGTGCGCGGGACACGATTAAAGATACGCGCCACTTTGAAGGGTTTTAAGTCCTGTAATCACTCGCCTTCCACTCTCTTGGGGACCTCATCAATGTTCGGTTTGAGCGTCTAATGCCATGGACCTTTTGGTGGGTGAGAGCCTGACGTAAGTGATCTGCTGTCAGCAGTTGCATGCAACGTCAATGCTTCAGTCCGTAGAAATTGTGCAGAAAGCCTCATCGAAACATTGCTCACCATCAATGAAGCGTTCTCAGGTACCAGAAGAGCACGGTACTGGCTGCCTGCCTACAGTTTCGATCAATCAAACTGGTCACAAGCGGACAATTCTCAGAACTGAATGCGGTGCCTGATTGTCCTAACTTTGGCAAGTCTCTCGCTGGCGGCTCTGCTCCCCTCGCATTCACAGGCCTTGGCTCCCTCTAACCTAGCTTCAGATACACATTGATAATGCTTTGATGGAGATTATGAGCTGGCTTGATGGACCTTTATTCGCTGGCTCAAAAACTCGTGACCAACTGCAGTTCGTTTGCCTCAAGCGCCGACCAACAGATATTGAGCGCCACGATGACTTACTGATGCATAAAATTGGGGCTCCACCGACCATTCTGCTGAGCTCAAAGTACAGTAGCTCGGCGTCTTTGAACCATGTCCTCTTACGTCTCTTAGGCACTGGGACATTGACCCGTTCAGGCTCATACCTGAGCTAGGACTGATGCTTGCAGACCGAACAATGTCAGAAAGCCTGGCTTCTTACAATCTCAGGAGATTCCATTAAGCTCAGGGGTCTTTGAATGACTGCAACGAATTCTTCGGGCATACTTAGATATTGCCCTGTCTGTAAACCAGAAATGTCAACATGTTTCTCTTGCGTGAAGTAGATCTACTGGCACCAGCGGCTAGGCTTGACTAACAGTATGATGAGCCCTACGCCAAAGTCAGACACTTGATCGGATGTCAATCATTAACACTTCTCTGCGCAAAGATGTTCGCGAATCTCTTTTTGCCGGCCTCAATCAAGAATGTTTTAAGCCTAGCTCCGTACGACTCTAGAACTTCTGCTCTTCTTCCATTCTGGACTCAGTCTTGTCAGCCTATCGTTCACCACTAAATTCTTTTGCAGCCTTTTGTAGCCTTTTGTGCATGCCCGTGTGACCTCCATGTTAGCTCATTCGCACTCCACATTTTGGGAGAACATAAACTTTTTCTCGGCCCCTACAGCAAATACCGCACTGGACGGTTTGAAACCCGGGTTACACCAAGCAATCCGGGACGTGGGGAGCGTTTCAAAGGAGATGGTCTTTTACCGGTTGCGGAACGGGGAAGTCGTGGAGACGAAGGAGGCCAAAGACATGGGAGCCACGGGAGTCATGGTCGTCCGCTGGCAGAGCGTTCAGAACATACTGGCGACGTTGGTGCCCCCGGAGCGTGTGCACTGCGGTCTTCGGCTGAGCGCTTATGAGTCCGTGGAGGTGAGCGCTTATGAGAGGACAGAGCCTGAGGGCGTGTGCACTGTGGTCTTCGGCTGAGCGCTTATGAATCCGTAGAGGTGAGGGCTTATGAGAGGATTGGCTTAGCACATATGAGTCCGTAGAGGTGAGAGCTTATGAGAGGATCAGAGCCTGAGGGCGTGTGAATTGAGGTCTACCTGCCCGCTTATGAGTGCGTAACGTGAGCACTCATCTTCTGCACTTTTGGCGCTTGGCACTTGTAGGTTGACTGCCCCATAAGAAGTTTCTTGCAAAGGTTCTGACATGATGCTTAAGAAGACTGAGTGTAATCACGTCTGTGCGTGTTGGTGCATCATTGGGTGTGTCGCTAAACGCTCATGACCAGCTGGAAGGGAGGCTCGAGGCCTTTCCGAAGTTTCCGTTTTGAAAGGCAAGGGACTTGAGTAAATTTGGGCTGCCAATTTAAGGGCCCACGAGGGCACCTCGGCAGAAGCCGCTCCTCCACGCTTTCAATGACTTGCTATTAAGATCGAAAGATCGTGGAGACAGCGTCGGTTGTTTCCGGCCATGAAAGGATTCAAGCCGAGCCACCTTCATAGCAAGAAACACGATTTGGAGGCGCGCGCGGTCCTTTCGGTACGGCCAGAGCTGCGGTTTCGTTTCCCTTTCTTTTCTCGGTGTCTTCAGAGGACATAAGGTCTCGGTTCACCAACTTTTCGAAGACTGAGAAACACAAAATAAAAAGAAGAGGACCTTGACGATCGCAAGGCTTGAAATAGAAAATGAAACACAAATATACGTTTTACTTGACAGGAGGGTGTGAATGCCGTCTTCGATGTAGTGGGCGCGTCAGCAGAGCATCACTACACGCACCGGAACGAGCAGGCGGCATGTGGACAGCGGACGGTCCGGGCCAAGCTCTTAGTCGGCGCGGACGGCATTCGATCTGCCGTCCGGAGAATCCTGGCCGGTTAGTGGCGACTGAACATCGAACTCAAGAAATGTTTTAATAAGCCGAGATAACAGTAAGTTAACCGCACTGGGACGGGTAGGGTTAGTTTGGTGGTTAGGGTGGGTATGGGTGCGGAGCAGCTATCTTCTTGGGTTCGGGTTTTTAGCGTTAGTCGGAGCTTAGAATTAACTTGGCTTATGTCTACCTTTCTTGAGTTTTATCAAACTGAACGACCCCGTTTCGCATTGACAAACGGCGTATGTTACAGAAAGAGTGTCTGCATGGGTGGTCTCGACAATCTTTGCGTTGCTTTTCTCATCCATTGGGGACCCTGCTTTTTGGCGACAAACCCAGCGAAGTGTGAAAGGCAAACAGGCCGGATGTAGAACGAATCTTTTGATTCAAGCTAATTGAAGCTGAAGCTCTTCTTCTGACGGACAGAACATGAGGGCAACGTGAATCAAATAGTGCGATAACTTTGATCGAGAAAGAAACTTGCAATCGAGTTGAAGGTTTCAGCAGTTAAAGTTTGATTCGAGTCAGCAGACTGAATCCATCTAGTTGCAGATCTAAACGACTTGAAGGATCTTAAGTTCGAGCTGAACAGGAATCGGCCGGTTTTGATTCATCGTCCAAATGTGGGTCATTCTGTTGTGAGGAGCGGTTCTCTTCTTTAATGTTTCCAAACCTACCGTGCGAAACTAATCATCCGTCTGAACGTGTTCCAACGATCCCTACGTTTCATTGTCTGCAGGCGACGCCCCGCGCTACGTGCGCCATCTGAATTGGAACGCGGTGGTTCCGAGAGAGTTCGTTCCGGGCCTCAGCAAAGACACCCTGCACCGGACGGAAGATGACGTCACGGGCCTCATCACGTTCAAAGCGGACGCGGGTGCGCGTTTTCCCCCACGTTCTTGGCGCAGTGCCTGACTTCGAGCTTCTCTGTTCCTTCCGCTTTCCCTACTGGTGATCAAAGTCTTACTTTTTTGAGTGCACGGCCTAGTATCGCATTGTTGCGTTCATTTTATAAACATCAGGAGAAGCAGCAAACATGCAAGACGTCGTTTAAAGCTGGGGTTTGAAAGGGAATTCCATTCGCCGCCTGCGTTCTGCTGTGCTTTCCCCCATCCTCTCTGTGAATCCACAAGCGTTCGTACTGCTCCTGGCAAATCTTCCCCTGGCACTTGACCGGTCTGAAAAAGTACGTATGAAGAGGGCTTAATGCGCTTCTAGTTGACTAAACTCGCTTTTGGAGTACGCGACTTTCGCAACTCGTTTCGGCAGACCTTGGACTCTAAACCATGTACAGAACCAGATCTCAACCTGGCGTTTGAACCCGTTCATTAGCTACTTTTGGCAAGTTTGGCGGGGGCTTGAATAACCGGCTATTCGGACCGCCAACCGGATTTGAGTCTAGCGTTGTTTCCAGGCCACGGCTACAGCTTCTGGCAGGTCCGCGTGCGGGATACGGACTGCCGGCTCGCGGACAGCCTCGGGCCCACGTGGGGGGGGCTCGGGAAACCGGGCGCCAAGCAGCGCGCGCTGGAGCATCTCGAAGAACTGGGGGAGGCGTGAGTAACTGTTATTTTTAAGGTTTTAGGGTTCCGGGCACCTGAATACAAATCGTCTATCTGAAAGCGTGACGCGCTCCACACCCGCACCCACCCTAACGCGGACTAACCCAGTCCGTCCTCCGGGTGCCCATCTTAGTGCAATCTACCGTTGATGCGATTTAGGGCTATCAGAGTAAGGTCAAGACGCCGTGTGAAGACCAAGCTTGGACGAGGCAGCGCAGCCTTCCGCTGGCTGAGAGTGTATCTACTTACCCTCGTGCAAAATAGTCAAGCTGTTCTCGTGTCGGGTCACCGTGTGACGGCAAAGTTTTCTGCTCTCAAAGCAGGGAGACGGAATTTGAGATGGTCAGACTTCTGCCGATCCAACAGCCTGTTATGTTCGGTCTCTCGAACCGGAAGCGCAATGCGCGTTCAAAGTCTCAACTATCCACAAAAGCTTCCTTGCTTTCTTCCATCGTAGTTACGATGCCGTCCGATCCGCCATCGAGTCGACGCCGGAGGCGGACATCTTCGAGCGCCGGCTGATGGCCAACGGACCGATCGACACGTGGCTAGACGCGGACGACCGATTGGTGCTTCTTGGAGACGGTGAGATAACTGAAAAATGCTCTCAAGCTTTTTAGAATGGTTTCAAAAAGTCTTAGCAAACTCGAACGCTGACTGCTCTCCCAATCTAAACAGTGGCAGAGTTCCCAAACAGGAGTCCAGATTAAGCCGGCGCGGTTTTCCTTCTCTTTGGGAATACCCCACCACCAAAGTGTGTAGCGAATGCCTGCGCTTGCCAGCCCCAGCCTTAGCGAACAACAAAGTCTGTGCCGATGCTGACGTCAGTCACTCGGCCTCCTGCTGCCGTCACAACGAGCGCACCTCACTTCGCACCCCGTAAGGCGGCGAAGAGACGTTTCTGAACGTCTAGTTTTCGGAACGTCTGTCGTTTAGTCGGCGCTCGGAACGATCCACCGACCACCTTTTTTCTGTTTGCAGCTGCTCACGCGATGCACCCCGGGCCCGGCGAAGGCGCCCGGCAGGCGTTCGAGGACGCGCACCAGCTGTGCCTCGCTCTAGTTGACGAGGGCGCGGCCGCGCTCGACCGCGCGGCCGTGGGGCGGGCGCTCAAAAGGTGACGTCAGCAGCCTGAGCCAGGCGGTTGTGAGGGTCCGTCTGGGAGAGTACAGGGGTTGTGCTTTCAGAAAGCACGTCCGCTTGCCAAACTGATTGGGCGGGCGATTGCCGGTCTCTTCTGTGATCTGACACCGAGCTTCTGGCAACCCTGCCTTCCCAGCTATTCAGCCCATTTTATTGAGAAGCACATCACGCGCTCCGAAATCCATTCGCTAATCAACCGGACTCATCGACCGTCTTTGTCATGAACGGGGGACTTGCAGCCTGAAAACTCTTCCTGGTAGCATGTTTCCTGTCACCCTCGGGTATTTGGACAGTACTAGAAATATGTGTTTTCGGAAGCTTGCACTTGGATCACTCAACGGGCCCACGGTTATTTCGTAGTCAAGGTCGCCTGAGTCGCCGTCTGTTCGTATCTTCATTTCTGGAGGACGCGTCTAAAGAAGGAACTGAGATGAGGGGCGGAGATGATTTATGATCGGCGCAAACCTTGACAGTTCGAAAAGCCTGTCAAGGCCCAAGCAGCACCTTCTTTGTCTGCTTTGTTTCGTCCGTCCATCGGAACGAACTTAGCGCTCTTGCACTTGGGGTTGGTCACCGAACTCAAACCGCAGTGCCCATTTCGTTTCGTCAATCGCAAACTCGATTCCTAGTCAAGTTCGTTGACTAGGAAGTTGGTAGTCATACGAAGCACAAAGCCAGTGTCACTTTTTTAAGTCAAAGATCCATCAAGCTAGTGACACCCTTTTAAGAACAGTATCATAAAGATCACAAAGCCAGTGACACGTTTTCAGCCTAGAACTTCTGTGGCCTGACGCCGGTGCAGGTACGAGCTGCTTCGCAAGCACCGGTGCGAGACGGTCCAGGCGATGGCTCTGGAGGGCAGCGGCCTGCCGCCGGAAGAGACCGTTCCGCCGGAGTTCCGGGACTTTACCCGGGAGCAGAAGAACGACCGGTTCAAGGAGTTTGCAAGCTGGCTGCAGACGTACCCGGACAACCCGGTCGGCGATCCGAACAGCCGGTTCTTCAAACCCCCGGCAGAACTTGAAGAGATTACCTGAGGAGCGGGTTAAGACGCCGGGTTGGGGATTTGGATTGAAACATAACTTTGTAGGGAGTTCGTGAGAGAGTTGAGTTGCTAGAAACGAAGCTTGCGTGTTCCAGAGAGGTTGGGCGACTGATCGAGGCAGGCGGCCGAGAAAGCGGGGAAGAGCCCGGAAGCTCTTGCGGTAGCAAAGTTGCAGAATCCTAACGATTAACGTACTGGAGGATCAGAGTGCAAAGCTGTAGTATTAGGCTTCCTTTCGTTGTGGATTCCTCAAGTATTGCGTTGGCGGGATAGCGTGTTAAGTCTTTAGACGTGTACGTGTTGTTACAGATTCTTGGATTGAAATTTACTAACCACTACTAATTGATAACATCCTTTGCATTGCGAAAGTTGACCTAGACTGGCTTCGTTTTGTTTCCCTTTAAACGTCCACGATTAGCGTCTTAGAAGTACCCATCTTCATCTGGGCGATGAGTGAATTATGACATGTATCATTTCAGACGTTGCAGATTCGGCTTTCGGACATTTACTTATTGCTGCAACATGCTCTTCAAGCAATTAAGGGGACCCCCCGGAAGGTGGTAGATTCGGGCAAAACAACACCTTCGGTTCTCGGCGAATTGACCAAAAGAACACCCGCTCAGCCGCTCTGTGTGTACTGATGGTGTACTGAGCAGACTTCCGAACCGTCCAATCGATTCGTTCCCCCCAAGCGGCGGGCCCAGATGGAGTAATGGTGGGGATAATAGCAATCCAGGCCGGTTGAAATCGGTGTGCTGTTGGGTCCCGCCTCGTATCAAGGCGGGTAATTGGGGCCATGACCGTACGGTTGGAAGATTATCGTGGGCCGGGTTGCGAAGAATCCACCCAGGACGGTGACAGTCAGTACGCACGCTCTTGGACCCGCCAGAAAAAGTTCGGGACCGTCGATCGATGGGGGCAGCCCCCAACTTTGACCCTTTGGATCGTCCGATGGGGTTAGCATTGAATGCTCTCTGGCAACCGCAAATGCGGACCCTAAAGTTTGCTGGCGACGCCCTCCGGTAATTAGAGTGAGGGCGTCGCCGCGTTCCCGAACTTTTGTCTTGACACAGCCTGCCAACTGGGCACAGAAAAGGACGGAGGTGTCAAAGCCCCAGAAGCGTGCGTACTGACTGGTGATGCTTGAAGTCACCGTGCGTACAAGTATTAAACCGTGCCAATGTGCGGTCCGGTTGCGCAGTCAACTTTTTACGCTGACAGAAACCGTGCCAATGTCTACTACGACGACGAATCCTTTAGCAACCAATCCGACGATCTAAAACTCAAGATATAGATCTGTGGTCTGAATTGTCTGAACTGCGGACGGTCGTCGATGTCGATTCGTCAGCTCCGCTCGTGTCTCGTGAGTCGTCGACTTCTAGAAGATCTGGATTGGCAGAATCCTGCGATCCGCCGTTCGATTGACTGGCCACGAGCTCCACATGAGCAATCGACGAATCAGAATGCAACACGTTTGCTCGATATCTCCGCTAGCCAAGAAGAGTGTGCCTGCGTGGTCAATCGAACCTTCCAACCAGCGAGCCAGGGCTCCTGCTCTCTCGTCAGCTCTGAAAGGCGCTTTCCTGCTTCATGCAGACAACACTCACTTCAGGAGCTCAGCTCTGCGGTCTTCCGTGACTTCATCGACTCCTTTTCAAGCTTTCTCAGGAGCAGCGGTCCTCACTTTTCAGCACTCACAACAGCGGTAGTTTCTGCCTAGTTTTGTGTTTGTTCAGGTGTGTCTGTTTCTGCATAGGCGTTTGGCGCAGCTTTTGGTTGACGTAGATACACTTCTACCGGGATGGCCTTGACTCGCGTGGCCCTGAACACTACCTCGCTCCAGCTCGCAGCATCGCCCCTCGTGAGCTGCCAGTCACGGCAGTCCCCTGCTGGTTCCGCTCTGTTCCCGCTTGGCCCCTCCAGAGCTTCCATCAAACAGCCACTTGCTGCCAGGGCCTCCACAGCTCCTCACTGTTCTTCCTTCTTTGGTAGCTCCCTCCCCCTCCATTCCGCAGTTCATGCACCTGCTCGCAAGGCGCACAGGAGAATTTCAGCAGAGGCGGCAGGGCCATCTTCGCCAGATGGGGCTTTGCCAGATGGAGGGGAGTCTGCACCAGAGGCAGGCCACACGTTGGCCCCCCTCCGACCATCTTCTCCCACGGGCGAGTTCCTCATTAAGATGCTGGAGGATTATCCGCATCTGTTCCCTTCTGCAGCAGACCAACAACTGGAGAGATTAGCCTCAGAAAAGCAAGAGGCGGATAGCAAGGCCAATGCGACGGGGTCAGAGCTGGTGCTGTATGAGTAAGTTTTCTGCGTGGTTCCCTAGTAATCTCTCAGATGGTTCTCCCATTCTTTCTTGTAAGTTTGTTGTATCTCAGCAGTCTGTTGTTGCAAGCAATGTTTTCAGCTGCTCTTTGATTTCTTGTCATTCATGGTTCATGTCACTCTAGTTTCATTAGAGTTGGCTTTGAATTCTCTTGGCAATGCTGTACGCGAAAATGTCTGGCTTTTTCTGTAAGGCCTGGGTGATGCATCCTGTTTTAAGTGAAGTGCCCTGAGAAAGACTGTCTGGTCAGATTGCATTGGCTGTTCTGGCTGCTTCTGTTCCACGAACAGCCTGCTTCTGTTCCACCAGCGTCAAACAAGTGTTTTGGTGTAGTTTATTCTTGTCATCATCTTGTCCATCATTTGTGCAATGAACAGCGCCTTTTCTTGAGTGTGGGCAAGTTTAATAACAGAGTATTTTTCTCAACCGACCTGTGCCAACAGCCATATTGACCTGTCTCTGTCCATCATCTGTGCAATGAACAGCACCTTTAACAGAGTATTTCTCTCAATTGACCTGTACCAACAGTTATATTGACCTGTCTCTGGCCACTCTGATTGCAAGTATCTAACGTCAATGTCACCTGGTGCAGGCGCATCAACCAGCTGAAGGCCACTGAACGGTCCAAGGCCGTTGAGGACATTATTTACGCGCTCGTGGTCCAGCGCTTCAACGAGTCGGGGGCGTCGCTTGTTTGCAAAGTTGCCACCCTCGCTGAGACCAGCGGACGCACCGCTGACGTCGGCCCTCTTGCGTTCGACGCCCTCAAGTCCGTGCACTCCCCAGATGCGCTGGAGATGTGCCAGGAGCACTTGACTGTCGTTCTTGGCGCAGGGCAGTCGGCCTACGTTGATGAAAGCACGGCGGTGCAGATTAGCAAGCTGCGCATGGGGCAGGTTTACGCGGCCTCGGTTATGTACGGTTACTTCTTGCGGCGGGTGGATAAGCGGTTCCAGCTCGAGAAGACGATGAAGGGCGCAATGGGGATGTTGGGATTCAACCCCCTCGAAGCGGTGGATGCTGAAACTGGGGAGGAGGTGAAGGCTTCGGAGGAGGCAGAGAGTTTGGCAGCCGAGGCAGCGGCAGCGGCCGCACGCATGGCCCGGGGGGCGACAGACATGGGGCATGAGGCGTCTGACGAGCAGCGCATGGGGTTGAACCGGTTACGGAGGAACCAGGAGCGGGTGGCGGAGGAGCGGCGGTCAAAGCTGGCGCTGCGGAAGTATGTCTTGAGTTTTGACCAGGAGACGTTGCAGCAGGTGGCTAGAATTCGGACGCGGGAGACATTGAACGTGATTGAGAAGCACGTTGAGGCGTTGTTTGGAAAGCCGGAGATTATGGTGGGCGAGGGGGGTGTGGTTGGTCTGGTGATTCCCAAGGATGATGCGGTGAAGGTTAGCTTTGCGGGGTTGAGGAAGGTGGTTCTTGAGGCGCTTACGTTTGGCACGCACTTGTGGGATGTGGAGAGCTATATTGAGGAGCAGTATAACTTGGTAGCTGCCTAAGTGTTCGGTGTTGCTCAAGGGAAATATAGGAAATGATGAAAGCCGTTGGAAGTTTATAGAAGGAAACGTTTGACACTGATATTAGCAACTGTTCTTGTATATTCTTGTAAGTGGTAGAGACCTTTGTCAAAGGGCATCAAGCCTTGTCGTGCACAAACCCCTGTACAAAGGTGTTGTTTAATCTCGGATTCCAATCCAAGTCCAAAAGGATCCAGAAAGGCTGGAAAGCTCTTGATTTGTGTATTACCTCAGTGTCAAACTGGTCTTGCGCATCATGAGCTTGCATTGTCTTGTGTAAAAAACTCACTTCTGCAATTACTAGTGCGACATTACCCCTACTATTAGACCTGGCTGTTTAGCTGTCATCGAATGAAATTAATTGAAGTCCCGCAGGGCTGTGCATAAGCTTATACCACATTGTGGTCATCGCGCATCAGCACGAACGCCTCGCCCAAGTAAAATTAAGTTCCTCTGATTGCCTAACCGGAATGCATAGCGCAACGTATGTTTCCCTCCTACGTGCCGGCAATTCTTCAATGACTGAAATTAATTTGTACAACTTAGAATCAGTGCGCTGATTTACCGACTATAAGACGGTACATGTTATGAAACAGCTTTATATGTTGACTGGCGGATTTCGGCCGCGGCCTCCGGCTGTACCATGCACAATCGAACTTAAGATAGTAATTATATACTGTGCAAAAGCTAGATTACCAATTTCCATCTACTACCGTCGTCATATGGCGGTTGCGGCGGGCCACATGTGTGCGTATGCCTCCTACGTGCCCAATCAGGATATAGTGAGGCCAATTGTATATACGTATGCATCCGGTGCGCGGTATCTACTAGTGTATGTGAACTCCTTGCGCCGCGCCACCTCATGGCGGCAGTGCCAGCAGAAGGTTTGTGGTCTCTGAAACGCTTGCAGGAGAATACACTTCATAAAGCAGTAACCGTCCATGTGAAGAGTGGGTGTCCAACATGCGATAGACGGTTGTATTGAAAGCATGTACTAGGCCGGTAATGATAGTCGTAAGCTGAATCCAATCACATATTGAACACGATTTTACGACCGAGACTGCAACCATCCCCGAGTTTACATCAACAAATTGGTTGTCTTTCGACTACACTTCAAAGAGGTCTACAATCAACTAAAGAGACGCCTACATCGTCTATGGGGCGTCGCTGATGGTAGAATCCGCAGTTCTCATCGTGAGACTAAGCGCTACTCAGGTCCTACCCTATACAACATCAATAAGCTAACGGAACTCGCTCTCAGTTCTTCAGCCTGTTGTCCCGTGTTATGTTGGCCTTGTTTACAATCTCATAGAGCACACTGCACTTCACAAAATTCGTTGGCACAGCGCCCCTTCAAAAGCTCACGATCTAAGGGTCAACACCTGAAATACGCAGATACCCGAACGTTCGTTCACCGACTGAGGGTGCTCACTGATTACTACGGTAGGTTCTCACCTAGGATGAAGATAGTTCATCGACCCTAGAACTAGACTTCTGGTGGCAAAGCCGAAGCTTATCCCATAGCTAGGACCGCCTCATGAATGCAACAGCAACCGAATGCAGCCTCTGTGATTATCTCAAGCTTTTGATTACACCCAATCCGCCAAATCAATATGTATAAACCCCAAAGGCCGCGTCTTACACTCTTCAGGACATCAATGAATGCACATTCACCGTACATTCCCGTTGCATACCCCCACTCAGCTTACGCCGTCGACTCAAAATGCCGCCTGACGAAGACTCCCCATGAGCCTCCAGTCACCTAATCAATCCGTCTCACCGTTTCGGAACGCAGATTTCACCACGCTTTCCCTTACTACCCGCCCCTCCGACTCCTCGAAACGCTGACACCTGTCTCAATCTCCCTCGGGGCAATTCTCCCGACCGCTACTCAAAGTTGAAATCATCTTCCTGGATGGACCACCCGGCCCCCAGGTTATTCGCACTCGAGCCGCTGCCCATATTTAGAAACGACACCGACCCCCGGTTCTGATTGGGACTACTCAGCATGAAGCTCTCCTCGGCAGTCGTGGCTGGGCTGCTACTCATGGGGGTGAAGGTACCGCTCGAGTTGCGGGTCAGCGGGGGCCGGCCGGTGGGGACGCGGGCAGGGGCCGTGCTGGCAGGGAAAGGCTCCTGCGTAGAGATCGTCGATTGGAGTCAGGACAACCATTGTTCAGGAGGATGACTGCGGCTTTCGCTCAGATATAAGGAAGAGACTCGGAACTTGACATGATAAAGAGCAGGCCTTACGGTGTCGCCTCCGTCTCACTAGGGAGTCAGCTTCTGACAGCGAGAATTCTGCCCAAAAAAAGTTTACCGTCGACTGTTTAAGCTATCTTCTCAGATGCCGATGAATCTGAATTCACAGACCGACGATACACGCAGCGCTCCCAATCATGCCCATCAATTTTCTACCAGTTTTTGAACTTTGAAACTCAGGACACCTGCTTTGGAAGTAATGTTTGCAGCTTCGCTCCGCCTCACGTTCAATTCAGACAATTTCCAACGGCGAGCTGATTGCGACAGCCTCGAGGCGACACGTGGCGGCTCACCTGGTCGCCCACGCGTTCCCCGTCGGAGTGGAAGAGGATGGGGCGGCAGCGCTTGTCCTCGTTCATGAGGCTCGAGTTCTGGAAGTGGGCCACCAGCGCGGCCTTGCCCTGGATGCGCGCGTACGCCAGGCTCGCCACCTTCTCGCTGTTGAACTTTTCCCACTTCTTGCCGTTGAAGTGCTGCGCAGAAATGGAAGAACCTAATTAGGATGATTCATAGGGGAAGATTGATGCTCTTAGGGTTGTTCTTCTCCCACCTCTTGCCGTTCAAGTGCTGTGCAGAGACCGAAGAGACCAGTTGGATAATAAACAGCCAAAGATTTCTGCACTTGGGGTTGGACTTCTCCCACTTCTTGCCGTTGAAGTGCTGCAGAAAGGAAATGTAACGTTCTAAGATGTTTGACCGCCAGAACAATGACGGGGCCAAGTTACTGAAGACTCCCCTAAGCTCTTTGCCGTTAATGGTTGAGGAGAAGCGAAAAATAGCATCTAGGAAAACTTCGCTGACTCGTGGGAGCACCTGTAAGAAATTGCTTGCGACACAGACATCGTCTTATGCAAACCTTACGAAACTGCACGCAAACTGCAACCTGGCAAAAGAACCTGGTGACATCTTTGCAAGTTACCAAGGTCCGCCTCCCGTTCGTGGCTTTGACCAGAGAGACACGCCGGGGAGAATCTGCAGAGTCAGTTCCCTTACCTCGCAGAAGGGCACGATCTTCTCGGGGCTGACCAGGTTGATGAACGCATAGCCCACGTTGCACTTGTTCTGCAGGCAAAATCGGACAGGTGTCAGAACGACCTTGCATCTCCAAGATTTTTGATCAATCTGCTGCGGTATTCGTCACCATCATTACGCACAAGGTCAGCAGCCTGCAAAACCTTTGAAGTAGACTTTGTCGTTTGATAGAGATGGTCGCCACCGCTGTTTGCTTTGCTTCTGTTCTCGACGAAGCACCCCGGATCTTCTCAGCACATTCGTAAACCGTCCCCATCAATTATTGCTCATAAGTCGGACATAAGATTGCAGTCAAGCACTTCAGGTTCAGAAAGCGAGGATGCGACGAGCATCGGGCTTCAGAAGATCAGAGGATCGAGATAAGTGGCAGCACTGACCTTGAAGTCAATGGGCAGGTAAAAGAAGTCGTAGGTGCCCTTGTGATGCTCGTCGATTGCGGCCAACAGCATCTTCTGGGTGTACCTGAAAGGAGGGTTAGGAAACCTGTGAGATGAGGGTACAAAATCCGTTTTGAAAGGAGCGACTACAGAGATTTGAAAAGAGGACGAGATGCGGATTAACCATCCACTCGTAGTGGAGGTCAAGGAGTCCAGGCAACATCGGGAAAAATCTTGGAAATGATGGTTCTTGGAATCTTGGAAAGATCAATGAGGAGGACCTTAGAACGGACTGTTCCATGAAACGGCAGACACTTGCAAATCCAGCGATTTCATCGCGTCTGCATCCTTAATTGCGTAGAGGAAGGGAACTTTATGAAGGAAGGGAGGTCTCAATCTGGACTTTGAAGCTTTCAAATTTCGCTAAACTTACTTGTTGGGAATGTTCTTGATCATCAGCGTCGTTCTCGGCTCCTCCCCCCTCAGGATCTTCTCCAAATCCAGTTGATACTGAACCATGGTCCCCGAACCCCCCTGCATGCCCGTCGGTGTTTCCGGCCGGCGTCCCCTCGTTTCGGGGGGCTGCCCGTTCGCCCCTTTCAGGCCCCCCAAATGCCCCGTACTACCACTTCGGTGCATCAACCCTCCCGGATTCGGGGAACTAGGGCCGGAATCAAGACCCCCCATCGCGGAAAGCGAACCGGCACGCCCTACGAGCGACTCAGGGGAACTGTTGCCGAGGTAAGTGGGGGTTAAAAGGTTGGGCGCCGAACCCCCCCCCGAGGGGCGGTAGGGGCTCGAGAAATTCTCGCGGGGGCCGGCCGTGGTACTCGCCCAGGACGGCCTCGAGCTGGGGGGGTCGAAACTGGGCGCTACTGAGCCCCCCCCGGCTGCTAGCGCCTCCACGAAAAAAGTCCCCCCCCGGATGCTGCGTTCCACGTCCGTGCTGCTACGCTGCAGCGGCGGGCCGTAACCCCGCTCTAACCCCCGCTCTAACCCGCGAGGCAACCCGATGTCCGGGCCCGCGGCGAGAACCCGTTCAAGGTCATAACCCCTTTCGGCGGCCCAGTCCAAACCTGACCCGCGATCTAGCCCCCGGTAAGGATCCCCGGGAGGGGATCCCCCGTATCGTGAGTACTCAAGAGCGGCGAGGTTTTGGGCGGAGAGACGGGTGCCGATCGGGCCCAGTTTGGAAGGCCCCATTTCCGGGCCAAGTGCGCCGTTGTACAGGCGGTTGGGCGAGGATGGGTGCGTCGAGAGGCCTGACAGGGCCCGTTTGAGGTACGACGGAGAGGTTTGGGTTTGCAGAAGGAGGCGGTTGGCGGCGGAGTGGGCGCTGTGAAGACTGCCGCCGTGGCTACTGCCCCCCGCTGCAGACAGCAAACGTGGCTGAGTGAGATTTTCGTGGAACAAAGGTTCATTGCAACTCAGGAGCCAATCCTTCTTTGAAGGCGGGAAAAGTTGTCGTTTCTGAAATACGCTATCAGATCAGCACTTGACAGCAAAATATTATGCCCAACCCAAAGACAGATACACGCGATGCAAATCCAAAGAATCCAAACGGATGCCCCTCAAAGAATGGGTGACAGAGTTGATACTACTGCTCTACGAGGCAGCAAGAAAGACTCCGAACCTCGCCGACTCAGCGGAGATCACAAAGAGGCATATCGCCAAACGACATGCCGCACCACCAGACAAGATAGCCTTACACAACAAGCGACTGCTGCGAATCAAACGGTTGACATCTTACCTGAGTGCATGCTGCCGCCAGAGTGATGGCTTCCCCCGTGGTAGCTGCCCCCCGCCGAATGCATCGACAGCCCCGGGTGCATGTTGTAGGCGGAGTAGTTGGTCTCTTCGGGGTACAGTCCCCCCATGGACGACCAGGAATTGTGACGGGGGGGGGACGCGTGCATGCGGCGGTCCTCGTCAATCATGTCGGTTGGGACGGCGACATTCATGCTGAAGCGAGGAAGAAGGAGCATATGTTTAAAGCCTGAATGACGGGATATTGGTGATTAGACGGACGACTAGAGGATTTTAGACAGGACAAGAAAGGTGCTTCACCTGGTTCGACCCTGTACAAACAGTCTCTCAGAGAATTGCTGACAGAGGACGGAGGAAGGACGGGGTTTCAGTTGACGAGGAGAAGAAAAGATAACCCTCTTGTTGGAGATCGAAAATGCTTTCTAGCCACGAAAGGAAGAGAGAGGAGACGCTGAGAGCGATTCGTAAGCAGATGGAAAGCATCGGAGGGCACGAGCCAGTGAGGAGAAAGGCTGCAGTCAGGGGTAAGCCAAAAAAAGAGTCGAGAAAAGGAAACCAAATCACTGGGTTGGGAAAAGAAGACACAACAGCGGCATTGGTAGACTTGGTCAGTTTTCGAGACGACAGCTTTTTCAACCTTTTGCTCAGACAGTTTGACCGAAGGAACCGACTTCATCGAAGTCCGAGCAAGAGACTTCAACCTGCCGCAACGCGTCAATACAAGTACCAAATGCAAAGCAGTCATGAGGCCTGTTTCCTCGTCGTTCTCAGAAAGGATGGTTTCTGAAAAACCCGGTTGAACCACCAAAACAGTAGCGAATCTGAAGCTCACATGCGGCGGGCTCCTCCCGGCCGGCTTGGCTCCAGCTTGATCCGCTTCCCGGCGATGTCGCTCCGGTTCAGCGCGCGCAGCGCGGCGTCGGCGGCGCGGATGTCGTAGAACTCGATGAACTTGTGGTGGCGCTTGTGCGGCGTCTCGCGGATCTCCTTCACCTCCCCGTGCTGGCTGAAGATCTGGCGCAGCTCTTCGTTGGTCACGCTGCTGTCCAGGTTGAACACAACCAGCGTGCCCTGGTTCACGTCCTTGTCGCTTGGATTCTCCTGTGAAAGAGAGGGCTCCGATTTTCGCACCGAGTGTTGTGCACCAGATGAGACGTTTTGACCTTCTGGAACGGTGTGAAGAATAAAGGAAAGCTTCGAAGATGGTCGCGCTGCTGTCCAAGTTGATGACAACCAGCGTGCCCTGCACGTCCTTGTCCGAAAACTTCTCCTGCAAGATAAGGACGAGTCAAAATCAGACTTGTTTGAGGTGGCAAGCATGCACCGGGCCGGAGGTTTTGCAGGTCGCACTTCCTAATACCGAAGCTTATGAGGTTTCGTGGTTTGTTGAGATGTGGCTGAAAGTTCTGACACCTAGTGTTTAAAAAGTGGTCAAAGGTGACTTTCGTCGACGTGCCTCAAATCCATCTCGTTCTGCCTGTTGTGGTCTACCGTGTAGGAAGCTTAGGGAGAAGTGACACAGTTCGAGGTGGAAAGCGGATTGGCAGGGGCCAAAGAATGGTCGTAAACTCAAGGGGAGGAACACAGGGAGAGCTGACAAAGTCAAGTTGGAAGAGTCGAAGCTCACAGACAAACGCAGGCCCTCCATGGTAGGAACTTACTTTTGGGATGGAGAAATGAATGTCTAGCTTTCGCCTCCTGAGCGGCTTGTTCTGCAGCGCACGCATCGCGCTACGTGCTGCCCGGATGTCGTAGTACGAGATCATGACGAAGCCGCGGTGCTTGCAGGCCGTGTACAGCTGGCGGATGGCGCCGTATTGCTGCAATTGGAGTGAGGGGGGCGAAAGTAAGAAAAGATGCTTGAGCAGAAATGAAGCTATGATCTCTGGTTCTGGATACATGAAGCTTCGTTTTGTTGGTTAATATTTTGCTCCAGATAATATCTTCGGATTACACAGCAGTGCACGGGTCTGACAAACATCATGTCCAGTGCGCCAAGAGTATTCGAAGCCCCAGCCCCTCAGAAAGCTAGTAAAACAAGGTGGGGAGACTTTGCTACCTTACGGTGAGCCGATTCGTCCCTCAGAATGGCATATTTGATCCATCGACCTTTCATACTTACTAAAACTCTGAGACAATTTCACACAACCAAACCCTTCGCCTTCACGCTCACCTCAAACAGCGCCCTCAGCTCCGAGTCCTCCACGTTGCTGTTGATGTTCCGTACAAACAGTGTCCGCGAGGGGTGCTCTCCATAAGGATGTTCCCCCGCCATTGGCCCCGTGACTGCACTTTCCGTCTCCCTTGGAAGGGGTGGGGCGAAACCGGCTGACGCCTCAATGTGACGCTGGTAGGCCCGGTAGCCGTGGCCGGAGCCTTCGAGATCGCCCAATTCCAGGCCGCCACCTGGCAAGCAAGCAGCGAAGATTCAGCATCTCTTACGAGGACTCGGAAAAAGCTGGGAACTCGTACTGGAGGTAAGAAAGCTTAAGCCTAGCAAGGTGGGTTGGGCAGGTCGTTATGATTGTGCCACTCTCCAGGGCGCGCTCACGGTACAAAAGGTACTCACGTGGTTCCGTAGCTTTTTCTGGGGGTGCCTGGCCATCTTGAGGCAAGCTAGAGATGAGTTCCAGTTTGAAGGATGAGTTGGCAAACATGTATTTTTGCCAGAGTGAATCTGAAGGCAAGGGATATGCTCGCGGTTGTTCAGAGCTTGCGCGTTGTGAAAGGCAATCTTTTCGAGCAATCTGTAAGAAATCCATGCTGACAAGAAGACACCTCCTCCACCATAATATCTACAGACAATGGTATATTGTCTCTCACCGCTGCTGAACAAGTCGAAGTCCTCCCGCTCCTCGAACCCGTTGCTTCCAGTGGAGTGCACCGTCCGGTCCATGTCCGCATTCTGTCCGATGCCGGCCAGTAGGTCCTCCTCGTTGTCCGGCAGCAGCTTCCCGATGGTGTCCTTTTCGAGGTCGCTGAATGAACGGAAGCGCCGGTCCGTCTCAGCCATGGTCACTGCAGTGGCAAAGAAGAGTCGAAGTTCAGGAAAACGGGGAAGAGTAATGAGGCAAATTTGATGACCAGCCAGAAAAAGCCTGTGAAGAGAGCGATGGGAGGCCAGGATTTCACATAATCGATCAGGTTCTCCTGATGAAGTCTAAGTAAATCTTGACACACGAAACTGGAATGAGCAAGAGTAGCCGGTAGAAAATGAAAAGTAAATTGTGCCTCCTTGAGCACGGTCTCCTTCATCGCACAAACAGTGTAACAGACTTTGACGAACTCTTCCGGCAGTTGGGGTGCCATTTCAATCAGAAGCAAGCAAACAGATACCCTAGTCGATCTCAGAAGTCAATCTGGTCATGTCCGACGTCAAGGATGCGAAAACATACAGAGCGCATGGGTTTCTATGGCTCCTTTGGCTCCAGACCCCATCACAACCGCCGATGCCGCAGATACGAGAGGTAATGATCAGCAGCACTCCCTTTGAAGCATGGCATTGGGCCCCCCTCTTGACAGTGTCGCTCCTTAGGAACAGCAACCAGAAAAAAAGTTCAGCAGCCTAAGTTCGAGAGCGACAACTCAGACGAAATTGTGCTCACATTTACTACTGAACAGGCTGGGGAAGGAGCTTGAAAAGTCCACGGACGCCTCAACAATGCCCTTAGGGCTCCCCACAACCTCTACTCCCCCCTCGCTCGCTTGCTCTTTCTCCTCCGTCTCCGCAGCAGCTTGCCCCTCCTTCCCTTCCTTCTTTTGGACATCGTCCGTCCGCTCATCCGGTGGGGTACTTCCTTCCTTTCCAGGAGACGCCTGCTCTTCTGTTTTCGTCTGTGCTTCCACTTTCTGTTCACTAGCCTCTTTCTTCAACCCGTCCCGCGACACATCACGATAGCTCGGGACCTTTACGAGGCCCTCGCTCCGGGGCACATTCACACCGGCTGCCTTTCCCCTGTCCTCGCCAATTGGCCCCCAGCCGTTGGCGACCGCCCTGCCATCCAAGCCATGGCCCCACTCTGCCCCCCTGGTTCCATTTGGGGGGATGGACGATAGGCTTCGGTGCAGGTCCTCAAGAGAGGCCTGAAGCCCCCTGTTTGGATTTGCCTGGGCCTCAGCCATGCCAAGCGACCACCCAGATGAGCCATAGGCAGCCCAATTCTGTTCCGGGGGGGGTTGGGAGTAGGGTTCACGGAACCCCCGGGAGCTGGGAATGTTGTAGCTGCTGGATTCCAGGGGACCTGCAATGAAAGCTTTCGTCGTTCAAAATTTTAGGATCCGCGACCTGGTAAGATTGAGCTAGATTTGACAACGCTCTGATATTCCTGGCGCCTTCAATTTCTGGCAATGTAGTTTGACGAACTCGGTATGAGGTCAACGTTTCAGTATGTTTTCCCATGTTTCCATTTTTCTGAGTGCTGGAATAGTGAAACAGGAATGGAACGCAGTGTACCCCAGAGAATATATATTCACAAACAGGGTGTTCTCCTGTACCTGCCAAACCTAACCGCAGTTGGGACAGAGGAATTGCTGCAGGCCAGGTGTGCTGACTGATTCCTGGTAAACACGGTCAGATGGTGAAATCGAGGACGCAACTGAGTTCTCTTCACAAACAACTTGGATTGATCTGAAACTTCCACACTGCAATCCATTGCGCACCTTGAGATCTCCGCTCCTCCGCAAATGATCCGCGGGAGTACCTGTCAGCGTCCATCTTGGCCTCCCAGAAATCCAGCTCCCGAGCTGGAACCTGCACGAGAAAAGGTTTGAGGATAAGAAGAACATTAGAGGAGCAATGCAGGGGCTCAATAGTGATCAGAGCAAACATTTCCCTCTGTGTGCATCTTACCAAACCTGGCTGAGAGCCTGCACCTGTCATGTTTGATAGGTCATGGATGTTTTTTTCTCGAGGAATTTCATTGTCAACACATGATTTGAAGCCCCAATTCCCTTCAACTGTAGTACTGTAGCTTTCAAAAGGTACACCAGGATGCCCCAAGCTATGAACCTACGATTATGCAGACCGTCACCTATCCTTAAGTACAGGGTTTATCTCCTTTCAAAAGAAGCTGCAAATGATTCGACCACAAGCAACCTCACTGACCAATTTGAAACATGTACTCTGCCTGACGCAAATCATGGGAGACAAGGAGAGTGTCAACCTCAACCCAAGACAGAGTCAACCGAAACCAAGACAGGCCTTGGCTTTCATTTAATCTCACTACAAATCACTTTGTCATTTGTAACCTCCAAAACATGCCGCACCAGTTGCATTCCTTGAAGTGCCATCTACAACAGCGACATCACTGTGAACTGATCGTCGACCTTAGTGGCACAGTCCGAGCTCAATCAGAACCTCATCATAGTGGTGCAATGGCACCAGGGCACAAGGAGGCTCAGCCAGAGCCGTCTCCATGGCTGAATTGAACAAATGATTGTAATTTTTCTGTTAGATACCAATCCACCATTGAATGAGAGGTTTATTGAAAAGACATACTTCACAGTCAATCACCAAGTTGACAAGCAAAGCTGTGAATAACAAGATTGTATCTTTCACAAGGTATGTGAATTTTGCCTTTGTCTTGTAGGAACAATCATCATTCAGAAATTCAGACAAACAAAAACCTGAAGTTCCTAGCAGAAGCCTCTGATTATTGTTAAAAAGTCAAAACTGATCTTAATATGGTGAAATATCTCCTGGGGGGCAAAAAGCAGCTTGGAATCAACAAAGGCATCGATCAGTAACATCAGAAGAGGACAATTCCATGAAGGAAGCAGCTTAGAAGTACAACAGATTCAACCACCAGGTAATCAGTCCCAGTCCCTGCAACCTACACAAGCCTACACATGTCCAGATGAAGGAGCAGCTTGTGATTGAAAATGAGGAAGCAGGGCATCTGACCAGCTATCCAGCAATATGCTCACCTGACTCTGATATGCACTTGGCCCGAAGCTTGGCTCCATCAAGGCCAGCATGAGGAATGTGGCAAAAGTACACAAGTTTCGCGCTGACGATGACTTGGCGAGCCTCTCAAACGAAGAACACGAACACCGCCTTCACTGATGCTGTAATCTGCAACTAGTGCACAGAGCTTGAGAAGCCATTGGCCACCACCTTCAATTCGTGGGGATCTGTTTAACGTACTCCATTCCGATCGTTCCCTTACTGCACAAATTACCTAGCCAGCTGAAAGCTGAACCCCGAGCTTCAGCTTTCTCCAACGCCTCCCTGCACTTCTACCGTAAGTTGCAAAGTAAGGTGACCTGATCAAAAGTCCTGCAGCGGCTCCATGCCGCGTCTCTTTGCACCATGATCATTAATTGCGCATCGGTCGCAACATCTGGGCCCCATTGCATGATCGAAAGCTTCTCTTTGTCTACCAATCCTGCTTGCGCACCGCCATGATACCGGTACAGTCTCCAGCTTGTTGCAAGCTCCTCCTGCCGCTGTGCATTGCTGATTGCATTCCTCCTCAGAGTCCAGACTCCAGACTCACGCCGGGTCCTTGTAAATGTCAACGATGATCGGCCGGATGCATGTCCCCGGCCACAATCTGAGCTGTCGGCAGACCTCTCGCATTCCTAGTAATTCGTTCACCGGGCACTTTCCGCCGCATGGGGACTCCGAACATGATGTGCATGCCGGCCGGCGGTTGCCACTCGCCGCATACCGAGAACGCAAGCCCGACCAGATCTGTGCAGCCTGCCGCGTCTCAATCCTGCTTTGGGCGCTGAAAATGTCGGAGGAGCTGACGATGCATCCCCCCTGAACAATTCATGCCTCGTTGATTTCTTCTACTTAATCACGCATTCTGGCATGTCTTCCAGCCCCCGTTTTGACAAAAGGGGGATCAAGTGCTGAGCTTTCGCGCACCAAAAATGTGTGGGCGTCGGAAGATCCCGAAAAGTGCGGAAAACACGTGTATCCTGACGAGACGGTTAGTTGACCTGCTGACGCGTGGAGACCCCAATGATGCCATTGAATCTCGCTGACGCTACCATGACGATCAGATCGAAACCCTCGCGCCCACCAACTAGACTTGGCGAAGTTGGTACAACAGGATTGGCACGAATACGATGAAGGAAAGGTACTCGACGATCTAGGCCATCCAAAACTTGATGAATGAATAAACGGCTCAAAATCATCTAAAGTTTTCAACGATTCCCTCGACCCGGCGTCATCGCAGCCGCCTGAGCCTCTGAGTCTCAGTGACTGTCAGTGTGTCGTACGACTCGTAGCAGCTAGAGCCGACTTTCCACCATGGCGGCCTCGTGCGCTTTGCACCATCCTCTATCCTGCTCATTGGCGACACTAGCAAAGCATGAATCGACCTTGCCTTCGACCTCACAGCAGTCGAGCTGTATCAGTTTCTGCTGTGGCCAGAGCTTCTTAAAGGAGAGGCATCTAAAGCGCTCTTCTGTTACACGGAACATTGGTTCGGCAGCCATCCATCAGGGTGCTCTAAAGCAGCCCGCCCTCTCTTTTCAATGGGGCTCTGCGCCAAAGTCCGTAAAGAATTCTAGAAGAATCAGCGTGCGAGCTAATGCGGACAGCGAAACTGATTCAGGCTCAGGAAAGGTGAGTCTTTCTGACCTGTTACGCCACACCCAGCCAAGTGTTTGCATACTGCAAGGTTCAAAATCAGGGAATGAAGTGCTACAGCATGTTAAGGTACGCAAGGATGTAAATGCTGTGCGCAACCAGAAATAACTTACGTGTTTCCATAATTGAAGTTGGGCGTGGACCAGACAGTCGTTCGTTGCTCATCGAACACTCTGAGCTAAATTGGCTACAGTTGATGTTGTTCTGCTAAGACACCTTTTGCAGCCATGAAAATCTTGTCCACAACTTTATCAAATGGAAGCTGGAAAGTTCTTGTGTTTCTCAAGTACGGTGGCCACCTCTCATTGATATCCGGAGCTGTGCGAGCTGGGGTTCCACAAAATTTCCAGAATCTCAGAGAACACAATGACGCTCAGTGGTGGTCGCACTACGTTTTCCCTCACGCACTTGGGAGAACATGTCAAGCCTTTGCGAAGTTTGTTGCTCGAAGCACCGGTCACATGGGGGTTTGAATTCGTTCGCATCTAATGGCCGCAACTCCTCTTGCGCTTGCTTAAAGGGCTGCAAATGTGCCTCAGCATCGACCACCGTCTCACCAAAATGCAACGCAACGCATTGACCTTGCAGGCACCTTTTGGTTACACAAGAAAAGATGTGCTGGTCTTAGGGCTTGGGGTTATCGTGGCCGGCTTTGCCCTCAAGTATGGACTGGAGGTAAGCTGAAGCCTATGCATAACAAACTGCTGAGTTCCTCAAAGATGCTAATCAAGATTCATGAATCCCCCTCGACTCGTATCCAGACGGATCGATGAGCTCTATCCGATTGCAATTTTTGCACCGCACTTTGCGGTGAGGCATATGTTCCAAGGTAACTACGTTGGGGTTGTGGCCTCCCGGGGTCGCTGTGTCAGGCTTATTGAAGCGGAAGTGCTGGTCATGGATTGCGCCTATAAGAACAGAGCCGCGTTTGAGCTTTTCTGGTACCCATTGCAGACGCCATCGTGGACACAATCAGAAGAAACAAGCTCCCTCTTATTCGACGCATGTCTGGGGTCGCCTTACGTGTCTTATACAAGAAAGGAAGGGGGAAGGCAGCCCTGCCAAGTTATCTTGATCAACAAGAGTTTGTCCTGTTTCTTCGCAGGCTGTAGGAGTGGACCCGCTGGTGGCGGGGAATGTGATCCAGATTAGCTTTGTACTGGGATTGATGATCCTGTGGGTCTTCAGCTATGTTTTCCGAGTGGCCAACAAGGAGATGACATACGTGAAGCAACTGAAGGTACTGCCACTGCAACGCTCAGCTCCTTTGTCTTGATTTTCTTGTTGGATGCACACTGCCTCTGAGGTGTTTCTGAAGGCTGAGAAGGTTTGGGAAAAATACCAAGTTCTGATTGACTGTTCTTATCTGGATACCTTTCAAACCTGACCTTGTGGATCGACTTGCAGTCCTATGAGGAAGAGGTGATGAAGAAGAGGTTGGAGGAGCTCCCGGAGGCCGAGTTGGAGAACATGCTTGCTGCCGTTGAAGAGGAGAAGCGACGTTTGGAGGAGCGCCGAAAAACTGGGCAGCAACAATAAGAGGCAGTTGCAAAGTCCTACTTGATGTGATGCTGGTCAAGCGTAAGCTTCTATCGCATCCAGCCTTGTCCAATTGACATCTTGCAACAGTTCAGATTCGTTTATATAGCAAAGCAGTTCTAGATGAACGATTGTGGCCGGGGAGAGTTCGACTGCCGCAAGTTCTGACATGCACTGGCAAGTTGAGAACGACACATGTGATGTGTCAGTGCCTGATGGGCCGGCCTGTTCAATGAACACCATGCACGTACACCGCTGGCAATTGACCATCATCCACAGCGTACTGCAATATACCACGCTGGTCTCAATGCAGGCGTGATCCGAACAATACTGGCGCCACGTGCCAGCATCTTGCAAGACTGAGATCGATAGGTTCATGATCTGGCCGCCACATGTGTAAGTTGCAGGTGCTTGCAGTGAAAACTTATTCCGATTTTTTTTAGTTCGAACCTACAAGTATTGTAAGGCAACGGTCGGATATCGACGCATGCCATATGAATGTGAAATTTTCCTTGTTTAGTAGATCTGCCCTGGATGACCTTCAAAACATTTGTGCGCCTGGCATGAGCCTGAAGCCTATGGCCTATTTGGCTACGGCGTATTTGAAAAGAGACCATGACCTGCCCCGCTGGCCCCGCCCCAATCATTATTTGCAAATCATGATCGATCAACTCCCGAGTGGAGCACTGGCGCCTCTTCACCAAGCGCGGCCAGCCAAAGCGCACATGGGGAGCATGCTTCGGCTCGCGTAAGGACCGCGATGTCGCTTGGGAGGAATACCTCCCCATCCGCCAGAACGTCATGGACAAAGGCCTCGTCATCGAGCACTGCATCCCAAACCCCAAGGGTGCAACCAAAACAACCGAGGAAACAACCACCGAGCACACGGAGAATGCTCTGCAGCACACCCGTGCCGCTGCGGAAGCTGCGGCAGCACTACTAGCATCTCCCGAGGACGCGGCCGACCCAGGCGACAAGGCCCGTGACCAAATCGACACCATTATGGACCTGCTCTACAAACGCATCACCAAGGGCAAAAATGCCGAGGAGTAGAATCGTTGTAGTTGGTCATAAATAAAGGGCAAATTTAAGCCACTCGTCGTGTAACTGAAGAGGCCTATAGCCAGTTTCGGGAGTTAGCTAACATGCCGTAGGAATCGAGTCGGACATTGAACGTATTCGCATGGTAGTGACGTGTCGCTTATGCATATGTTCATTGAAGGACTCTAGCTTTGATTTTCGTAGAGTCAGATTGAGTCCGGACATGACTTACAGCTGTAGCAAGCTGTAGAGTCAACAAACTATCCCGGGTCTGCCGGAGACCGTGCTCCATGGCTCTAATGTGGCTAAGGGCGTTAATAAATGAGAAGTTACCATCGATATCGATTGCCGGCAAGCGATGACTTAGTTATGACTATATCATGTTACGTCCGATTTTCGGATGTGACGTCTTAAAACCTAGCAACGCGGGCCGCGTGGCCGCCTCTAATAGACTTCAAGGCTTAGACTCAGTCGCATATATGCCGCCATGATGCTCAATATAAGTGTATTTATCAACAGAATGACCCATAATAACGGGTCTGTGCCGGCGGGGCCCATCGATCTTTAGTTTGCAATGATCATGCAAGCACCTTGAGTCGGCCGGAGGCGCGTATTGGATGCGAGCATGTCAATTTGCCACGAACCTCGTTCGAAGAAAGCTGATGCACTCGAATCAATCAACCTAGCTTCCGGGAAGCTAGGCCGGACGTCGAACGTATCAACCATGCGGCATGGCCGCCTGCGTCAGCCTAATGAAAGCCAGCCACTACATGCATCCAACTGCAATATTCAATCTCCGAAGTGAGTTTTACGCACAAAATTCTCATGATTCAGTTCGCATATGACAATCTTTGCTGTTGATATTACTTTGTACCAAAGCATGGTATGCTAGAGAAATGCACGGCTGCCAGACACATGCATGAGATAAAGTACAACATGTTACAAGTTGCCACCTCATCTCCGATTTGCAAAGAATCACCACAAACGTCCGAGGATGAGCCCTTGTCATTGGCACATCCACTAAACACACGTTGGTCGTATCTCGTGCTTTTAGAAAGCCCTTAATCCGTGTCGTCACAGAGTTGGGCACTCTGCTGTAAATCAACGTGCTAATTGTTGGAACGACGAAGATGAACGAAGGTTGGACCAATGCTCCCACCAGAAGTACGTACGGTCCGAGTCAGATACTCAACCCGCTTTTAAGAGAAAGTTACCGAATGAAAAGGAAATTGTCCACCCGGATCCGAGCAAATGGGATAGCCTGATCGACATCACAAACACAAGGAAGCTGACAAGAGCTTTGTTTGCGGGCAACCGCTTTTTGGAAGTACAGCTTCGATATCACAACCAGGGTGCATGAGTGGATTGTGCCCTTGACCTAGCATCTCCATAACTTCTTGCCGGAAAGAAAGGACTTTACCTTGTGAAGCGGCGTGAAAACCGTCACTGTTGCGAAGGTACAACGAACTCGAGCCTAGCCCAATCCAAGGTTCGGTCCAATGCCACACGAGGTACTTGAGTTGTACGAATTGAGCAAGGTACTCGAGCATGGGTACACGTAACGCAGGTAGACAATGGTACAGCATGGTACGGAGATGAAGACGTGGGTACGAAGATGGATGAAGTGCCATTAAGGTCTCCTCAAGTCTGTCCCCCTGCAGTTGAAAGACTAGCAAGAGAAGGAATGTTCAAAAAGTGCCCGTGCTAACGAATGATGGCCGGACATCACAACCACCGAATCGGGATGCCATCGCAGAGAGATGAGACCCCTACTTCGACAAATACCTACGCGAGAAGTGAACCTTGAAAGAGTAAACCGTAGCAACCTAACAATATCAGAGCATCCAACCTCTTTCTTCAAAGCCTTTGCGACCAAACCAAGGGCGCAATCAGCGCTTGTCGCTTTTCGCCTTTTCCACAAGCACCACCCGACCGTTCCACGTGGTTTGATCCAGCTTGTCCACTGCTTCATCAGCGTCCTCGTCCGTCTCCATGGTGACAAAACCAAAACCCTTGGACTCCCCGTTCCTGCAAAGCATGAAGCCGGGTCAGAATGCCAAGGAACAAGCAGAAATACAGGTGCAAGAACGATGCCATACTTACATCGAAATGACGCTCTGATGCCCCATCACTGAAATCCAAGCTGGCCAAAAGACAGAGCCACTTTTTTGGTCCTACCATTGTTCCATCCACTTGAACCATGAGCAGCGTGTTCAAAGAGAGGGCCACCGCAGATAGGGAAGATTGGCCAGCATTTAAGCAACTGGGGCCATGGGGAAAAGATACATATGAAGAGCCAGTTTGTCCAGAAGCGAAAAGTATCCAGAACGCAAACTCTGCAGCTTTGACACAGTAAGCCTGAGCAGCTGCCAAAGCTCAGGCGAACCAGAATGTTGACAAGCTAGACACACCTCCTGTCCTTCACAATCCGCACGTCCACCACCCGCCCATACTTGGAGAACTTCCGATCGAGATCCTTTTCTGTCGTGATGAAGTTGAAGCCCGCCACAAAGACCGTGTTGCCTGGCCTGTAAGCCCCTTTGCCACGATTCCGGTCGCTTGTTCTTCCTCGCTCCCGAGAACGAGACCTGATAAGAAAGAAAGCATTGGCGCTAGCACTTGGTCAACAGATGGTCAAATGCTCAACATGCCTATACTAAACACGCACTTAGCAGATGTCTGTGGGCTTTCATTAAGTTGGTCAGGCAACGGGTGAAGTACCACCATCACAAGAAGCTGAAAGAGAAAGCGAAAGCGAAAGCGAACGAGCTGACCGACTGATGTGATAAGGGTGGTCCAACATTGAGAGTGGTCGACGTGATCGACATCTCAATGCATGCAGACGATGGCTGATGTGCACCAGCCTAAATTGCTGTCAGCACTACTCGGGGCCAACTATCAGCAAGATGGCACATATTCTGCAACTACATTGTATTTTATCAAAGTCACTTGCTTTGCATTTTCCAGTCAGTAGACTCTCTGGTAAACAATTGGACATATCACTTCGACTTACCCATCAAACGACAGATAATGCTGAAGAACACAAAGTTGAAAAGGCTCGTATAGACTTGGTAGTTATTAAAGCCTCACCTTCCACGATCGCTCCTGTCGTAGTCCCTTCTCCTGTCCCTGTCTGGCGACCTGTATCTGCTCCTCTCTGGTGACCTTTCCCGATAGCGCTCCCTGCTCCTCTCTCTGCTCCTCTCGCGCGCCCTACGAGGGGGCGGGGAGCTGTGCCTGACAGGAGTTACCGACCGTGAAGGGTCCCGCGGCCTTCGCACCGGAGAGCGCGTGTGAGACCTTTCACGTCTAGGAGACCTTTCTACGTCCCGGTCTTCACGAACATTTGGAGACTCGCGGCGCGGTTCCGGGGAGCGGTCACGGGGAGGCGGCGAAGGATCGCGGGGAGGGGAGGACTCGAGGTCGATATCTTTTGGGTGCACCATGGGGGGAGAGCCGGCAGGAGAAGGGGAGCGAGACTCACCCATTGCGCCCTGAGGACCTTGCCGAATGAAAGCCTCAATGGTGGATTCAC